AAACATAAACATAAACATAAACATAAACATAAACATAAACATAAAGACAAACACAAAGTTAACACAAGATATTGCGGCTCTGGGGCTGAAAAGTTTGCGTAAAAACAAAATGCAGTTAATAGACTTAAAAAAGCTGATTCCAGATGGTTCCAAATTTTAATTGCCAGAAAGAATATTTTTAACCCATATGGAAAAGTTCGGCCATCTCCATTACCACAAAAATTAGGATATTTAACTCTAATGTCAAGGCAGTTCTGCTGTATGGAGCAGAGACATGGAGAGTCTCCAAGGCAAGCACAGCAAAGATACAAACCTTCATGAACAGATGCCTTAGACAGATATTGAAATTGAGATGGCAGGACAAAGTGCCGAACATAAAATTGTGGAGATAAGCTAGGCAGGGGCCTATAGGTGTGCAAATAAGAAGGAGGAAGTGGCGCTGGGTGGGTCACACACTGCGAAAGGCTCAGACAAATGTTACACGCTAAGCGCTTGAGTGTAACCCCCAGGGAAAGCGGAAGAGAGGGCGCCCAAGACAGACCTGGAGGCGGAGTCTTCTTGAAGAACTGAAGCCAATAGGGATGTCTTGGGAGATGTCAAAATTAATAGCCGAGGATAGGAAGAAATGGAATGAAATGGTGGAGGCCCTATGCTCCATAAGGAGCAAAGAGAACTAATGAATGAATGATAATGATAAATATTTTTAACCAAAATTGAATGTTTTATAATATTTGTGTACACAAATACTTCCGGCTTCATTAATAGAAATAGTCAAAGAAATAATTACTGGTAATGTAGTAGTAATTTAGCAAACACTTTTATTTTTCGTTTGGATTACTAGAGTCATGGTATTGTGGTGATTGGGGATGTTATATTATTAAATATAAATACAATACTACACTATGCATCATAGATCGCTTTTGTCTATTTTTATCATGGAAAACAATTGTTCTGACTCTAATAGTTTTACTCTCACTGGTCATTCCGGTTGACTTCAATAAGAGGTTGAAGGCAGTTTTTGAAAATATTTCAATTGATAAAATAGTACTAAACGACTTTCCAACGGCTAATATTCAATACAAAAATATAAAAATGAGTGTAATCGATGGTTCGCAATCAGCTTTAATTTTATCGCTTGGCATAATTTTAAAAGATTTTTTTTTAAATTTAGCATGATTACATTGACTTTTCATGTCTATTGTTTTAGCCCTATCTATTATCATACATAAGTGAACGGTTAAGTGTAGTTACATACAATATTGTGCATAAGCCAATACTGGGATATATGAGTTATGGATGATTCACTGACAGGTTTTATTTATATATTCGAATGCAGGGTAGTGGGCCAGATAAGTTACCTGGTGTGGTGGATGAAAGTGATCAGTTAACTAGTTTATATAACGTCGTTCGGTAAACAAGCAAGACTTAGAAAGTATTTGAAATTTACATTTTTCACCTTGGATACATAACTATAATTCATTCCTCCAATTAATTTTAAAATTATAGTCTAACCAGGGGCGGAACTACAGTGCCGCCAGACCCCGCAATGCGGGGTGGCCCACGCCATTTAGGGGCCCAAAGCCGACCATAATCAATTTTTTATTGTTAAAAAAATTAATTTTCGTGCATTTTTGACTTGATGGTTGTTTTGTAAAAAAGATTACAGTAGCTGCGGTTGGATTATCTTTATTCTATAGACACCACCCCACGCTCTTGTATATTCTCTTTCCCTTTGTTTTTAAACCAATCTGAAAGCCGTCCTCTTTCTCCTACAATCAAGCTTATCAAAGATAAGCAAACGTTCACGCCACTTCCATTACTTATTTCCCTTTTTTAAATAGTCAAATAGGGGTGCTCATAAGCTCCTTGTAATAGATTTGTACTAAACAAATTAAAAAGCAATTATTTCTCTGAATTATTATTTATTTATAAAGTACTTAAAGAATGACACTGTATAAAAAGGAAATGTAATTAATATTAATAATATAAATACAAAAAAAAAAAAAAAAACATAACACGAGACACCATTACTTATACAAAGCTGTCATGGTTTATATTCTTTTGACCGACTATGGGATTAGAGGTCTTATAGCAGATATAAAATAAAACCGATTTTCACAGAACACACTAATGCACTTACACACATGACATGTTGTTGTAATTTGTTTTAATTAAAAAAAACTTTTTTTTAATTAAACCCGAACAGGCCTGCAATGAGTATCCTATGTTCGTATTTTGTATATATATATATATATATATATATATATATATATATATATATATATATATATATATATATATATATATATATATATATATATATATATATATATATATATATATATATATATATATATATATATATATATATATATATATATAGGGGGGGCATAAAAACATTTTTTTGCGGGGTGGCCCTTTTTTTCTAGTTCCGCCACTGAGTCTAACAAGGTTTTGCCATTCATACTTATCAAGAGTTCTTTAGTGACTTGGGTAATATTTAACTGCAAATGTTTCGATTTGATTATTTCATTACATATACTTATTTGTGTATTTTATTCCATATTACCTAATAGTATGCTTGCCACTTTGATTGTAAAAAGATATTACCTAATAGTATGTTTGCCACTTTGATTGTAAAAAGATATTACTTAATAGTATGTTTGCCACTTTGATTGTAAAAAGATATTACCGCAGGCAGTAGCGGATGGATGGTGGGATAGAGGGTAGCAGAAAGGGCCCCCAAATTTTAGGGGCCCCCAAATTTTAGGGGCCCCCAAATTTCTATTACAAACCATAGTAAATTTTATATAAAAATACCACTGTTTTAATGTTTGAATCACAAGTATATTTCTATTTATTTGGAAACTATTAAGTTGTCATCACATTTTACCTGGACATTGTTTACATCTAGCCGATGCTCTCTAAACAACACCTTTCGGACCAGCGTTCACTTTTTACAGTAAAATTGGGTATTTTTAGAATAGCCGAATTCAGACAAATAATTTTACAATTGACGCCTCCTTAAAATAAAACGGGAGTGATCTCCTCTAAACTTTTTGTAGATTTCATTATTTAAATAGAATAGAATAGCGTAGAAAAAAGGATTGCGCACCAAATGAAAAGAAACAAGCTGTGTATGATAGGACGGAAAACTAGTGCTTTATGTAGGAAACATCGATTATGTTTTTAAAAATCAATTAAACATCTAATTCAGACAAATTTTATGTCACAATGCACTGTTGTCAAGTCTAGATGTAAATAAAAAGTTTGGAAGAAATCGGTCCGGTAGAAGTGGAAATTTTTAAGAAATTGGAAATAGCGTAAAGTAATACTTCTGCTCACCGGAAATCACTCAAAATGTGAATGCATCAAGTTAATAAAATTGTATATCTATGTTTAAAATTTCGTCCTCCTAACTAAAACGGTAATCATCTTATCGGTATTTTAGAAACCAGAAATTAAGTAACATTCCACTCCCGATTTTGGAGGTCACTTAAAAATTGAATATTATTCAAGTGTAGGATGGATTAAAAAACAGTATTCAAGTGGAAATAAAGTAAAGTACTACTTCGGCTTTCCAAAAATCGTTCAAAATTTGACTGGAACGTGCGAATACATTGTAGTATATATATGTGAAACTTCGTCGACTCAACGGTACTCAAGTTATTGGCTTTTGACAAAACGGAAATTGAGTAAGTATTACTTCCAGTTACAGGAAATCGCTCAAAAAATGATACAGAACTACAAATTTGATACAATACTCAAATATAAACAAACAAAGAAATGTAATGTTTCAGTATTCGTAGTAATATAGGTGGAACTGGTTGTCTTGCTTTAAAATAAACCGGGAGTGATCTCCTCTAAACTTTCTCGAATATTCTAATATAACACTAAGGGGGATGGCAACTCGGGATTTAGACTTCTAGACATGATTTTTAATCCATTTTAATTACTCAAATTTTTTAAAATAGAATATAATCTCGTAGAAAAAAGAAATGCACACCAAGTGAACGCTAAATAAAGATGTGCATAATAGTGCGCAATATTATTAGTACTTTATAAATTTACATGCGTTTTTTGAGAAATCGGAAATAGCGTAAATAAGTACTTCAGGTCAACGGAAATGACTCAAAATTTGACAGAAGGTAGAGAATTAGATCTTTTACTTACATATCAAATTTCATTTATCTATCTGAAATAGTACTCAAGTTATAGGCTTTTGAAAAATTCAAAGTAGAAAAAGTACCACTTCCGGTTATCGGAAATCGCTCAAAAGTTGATCAGGATCTACGATTTTGATAAAATACTTATATATGAAATTTCATCAACCTAGCTATAACGGTACTCAAGTTATCGTGTTTACACACGGACACACACACACACACTCACAGACACACAGACATACGGACAAGATTGCAAAATTATGTTTTTCCGTATCAGTGAGATGTAAAACGTCGAGATTTGCAAAAATCTCGATTTTTTTTGCACGATTACAAGACTTTCTCTATACTTCGTATATACGAGAAAGTAAAAAATAAAGAGGGCGCATTTTACAAATACGAAACTATTCTGGCTAAGTTAATATTTGTTCTCTTGTTTTAACTCTATTTATAGTCAAAAGAGACAAGCCAGGCGCAGCGTTTCTTCCAGACTTTTTTCTCCGGGGGGGGCACTTGAAATCTTCGGGGGGGCGGTAAACTTTCTTCGGGGGGGGGGGGGGGCGGACACTGTTAAAAGTATATATTTTCTATATAAATTATATAAATTTCATTTCGTTCGGGGGGGGGGGCGGTGAAAATTTTTCGGGGGGGCTTCGCCCCCCCGAAGAGATGCCTGGAAGAAACTCTGGCCAGGCGCTGAGATCATCACTAAATTATCTCAGTCAGTTGAGAGAGACGATAACACTCAATATATAATGCATGTTATGCTACACAAAGCAACTGATGATTCAAGCATGAATTTAGTCACTTGCACTGTGGGAAAAAACAAAATCTAACCTTTCTCTTTGCCTTGAGCTGCTGTGAATCCCTTTCTTCGTGTGCATTACCCGGGGCTGTTCTTTTCCACAATAAAATAGCCACGATTGAATAAGTAACAGCTAAAATAATCAGTGGAGTGATGTAAGTGATCAGCAGTACAAACATGGTGAACGTCCGACGTGCTCCGCTTGATGACCACTCCTCGTCACAGTCCACAAAACTGCCTTTGTCTTTGGCTTTACCCACAATGAGTTGGACCGAAGAGAGCGCCAGAGAGCAGAGCCAGATGATGAATAGCGTATACCTGGCCCTCTGACTGCTCATCCTGGCCCGGAGGGGAAAGGTCACGACTAGGAATCGGTCTATGCCTATGGCCATGTTTGTGAAGACACTGGCCGATACCGAGAGGTGTTGCATGAACAGTACAAGGGGACACATGGGGCTAGAAAATATCCAGGTTCGAATCATAACAAACGTAAATGTGAAGGGCATACAAAACAAGGCCATGATCAGGTCGGCGACGGCCAAGTTAATGAGAAAAGGCCGGATGTCAGTCCGACAGCGACGACCCTTGGTGAAGACGGCGACCACCAAAATGTTGCCTGCTATCGAGAAGAGGATGGTCAGCGAGTACAAAACAATCAAGCTGGCGATGGCCTCGTTGGACAGAAGATTTGCCGATTCATCAGCACTAACGGTAGAGTTAAAGGAGCTTAAATTCGGGTTAATTCTAGAGAAACTAAGAATATCCAGGCTAAGATTCCTGCACGACTCACCAAAAGGACAGTTATCGAGAGGATTCAATCGTGAATTTATTACAGACATTTGTCTTGGCATTATCTGCAGGTCATTTTAATTTGATTTTTTTGTTCATCATCCCAGTGTCGTCATTCATAGAAATCAGTCAGCTAACTCCGGCAAATTCTTGGGTTCATCTGGAGATACAAAAAAAACAGTCCTCAGGATAAAAGTGTGTGTTTGTGTGTGTCTGTGTCTGTCTGTGTGTGTCTGTGTGCGCGTTCGTGCGCCCGTGTGTATATGCATATGTGTTGATCAGGTTGATTGACGTTAATTAATATTTAAGTATCATATCCAATGTGTAGACGTCTTTAAACTTTTGAGCGATTCCCGTTAACCGGAATGGGTATTTACTCTTCTTCTGATCTTTCAAATAACTTTCAGAATTCTAGGAAATTTTCACGTCTGTTTCCTCTAAAAATGAGCGTTTTGTCACAAACTTCTTTACTTTAAAGCCCGATTTGACTACATATGCCATCCCAACCATTACTGTTGAATATGCATTTAATTGAAATGTTAGGTAAGCTTAATTTTACTAGGGGAGTGTGGAGAGAAGTGGCATAGTTTTTATATAAACATAAATATTTGTTGTTTTTAGCACAAAACATACTAACCTAATATATAAAAGCCAACGTGCGCACTTCTCTCTCGCTCTCTGTCCGCACGTCCCGAGCCTAAGAGATCAGTATCTTCATCGATATATGGAGAACTTAATGATACGGACTTTTGATGAAAATAATATGGTGGATGTTTTAAATGTATAAACTAAATTTTATTCAAAGAAAGAAATAAAAATAAACCGATATTCAAATGTAGAAACTCATTTTTTTATGCAACCGTAAAAGTGTTTATGGTGTGACAACAACCCAATAAACAATGACGTCACATGCCACATGCTGAAACTACGGAAAGTACACAAAACTAATGGCGTCATCTTCTAAATTTAGAATATGAATAAATGAACTATTTCATTCAAATTTGATTTAGATCTCAATTCTATAAATCTACTTATCAAGTACATTGGGCTTCAACTAATAACTATTTTATAATAAAAAATATTCCAAATTAACATAACAGTAAAAATATAAACGGATACCCACGGCTAGCTACATAATAAAATAAATTAAGAGATTACTCTTCTAAAGTGATAGCAAGGATCAGAGAAATGTTCACCCTGTCCAATTATTGTGAAGATACTAAATGTATTTTAGGCAATCGAAGAGAAATGTGATTAGATTAGTTGTTGTTATATTTAAGTGCTAATTTATTAACACAGTCATTTAAATAGCCTATGTTTATAGTGAAGTAATTTAAATTTAGCTGGATCATTGCAACACATCACTTGTAAAGCTTCCTGCGTATTGATTTTTTCAGTTCCTTTTTCGGATGAATTTGGGTGGCCTACTTAATATCATAAAATTGCCTAATTGAGTTTAGGTGGCCTTATTGAGCTCGCCTATCCCCTAGACGCCCACATATGACCGTAAGTTAAAATCTTGATTTGGCTTGAATATTATTTGAAATGTTATACCGCCTCAAGTGTTAGCGTAATACAGTGATTGTTATTTTCCTGTAAGCGCTAGGCAACAGGTTGCACCCAGTAGTGCATGAAAACATATCCTACACACGAATATACAGCATCAAAGGAAAATGGTTTTATTAGCTTAGACAGTCTATCTATGAACTGTGGAGGGATATCTCATTTTGTCACTGTCGACACTGTTGTATCTCCCAGTTAACTCGTTACTCAACTTTATGGGTTTTTAGATAGTTGTTATTTCGTGAGGGCGTTTAGATGGTGCTTCGTTCGTTAGGGCGTTTAGATGGTGCTTCGTTCGTGAGGGCGTTTAGCTGGTGCTTCGTTCGCGTGGTTTTTATCCTAGCTAATCCGCTAAAGCTACCAACAATTGATCCACTTGGGTTGCCTAATAGCTCCTCGTTCAAGTCAAGCTAAATCGCATGGATTATAAAACTGTTATTGACTGAGTTAATATAACAATAACTCGTTGGGAATTTGGTGGAAAAATTAATTTTGGGGAAGTTTGGGGTATTAAATTAAGTTATTTTAACGAACCCACAATTTGAAAATTTATAATAATCTGCACTTAAATTTTTTAGCTGAGTGCCCCCAACATATGGTAGAAAATTATGAATTCATTGCTTACTGTGCGTAATATATATATATATATATATATATATATATATATATATATATATATATATATATATATATATATATATATATATATATATATATATATATATATATATATATATATATATATATATATATATATACGAGCCGACCCGCGGCGTATCATACGCCGCTATTTAGTTGTTTTATTTTCTACTTTTCAGTAATTCATAATTTGTGAATTCGACAGTACCAATGCTGCCACTGAAAATATTTGCTTTAAAACAGCCCACGTGAAAGCAGCCTCCTCTTAGTTACCTCCTCTAAGTTTAAAATCGTTTCAAACTAAATTATCTGCCCCTAATAGCCGTCACCAAACCCGTCTCTATGATTTTAAAATGTAAACAGCGTGACCACAGCTCACCAGACAATGTGGGGGTGGGGTGGGGGTGGTAGTGATAGTGATAGAGAGAAAGAGAGGGGACTGCAAGGAGGCGCTTGCAGCTTGTTTTCTAACGGCTCCCAGAAGAGAATTTATATATATATATATATATATATATATATATATATATATATATATATATATATATATATATATATATATATATATATATATATATATATATATATTATGATTGGTGGAAATCCTACGAAAGGTTTTTTTTTTCAAGATTTTCACACCAATAACTTTTTTGTAGTTGAAACACTGATGCGGATGTATCTTTAAAAAGCTTTAGATAAAATAATAATTGTTTGCTCTCTAGTATTAAGAAAGTATTTATTTACCGGGGCCTACCCCCTTAAAACCACAGTATGTTTTGATACTTATTTTTAGCTTCCAAAAACATTTCGATACTTCTATATTCTATCTATCTTCTGAAGTGTTGCAATAATTGTGCAAAATAATGTACATATCTAATATATAAAGCTCAATTCTGTATGTAACACATATGTTTGTCGTGGATCTTTTATGGATTTAAGTGTTAGATAATTAAAGTCCTTATGGTCTAAATTTATGAGTTAAAAAATTAATATTGAAAGTTTTGAGAAATAATTTTCATTTATCAAACTGAAAGTAATAATTTTCGGCATGTTCATTAAACACAAGTTTTAAAAAAATATCATCTTTTACAAAAATTCTAATTATGTCTTTATTTAGTCCTATAGCACTTACTTCCCTTTAATAAATTAGGAAAACACAATTACTTCCCTTTATAAAACCATTGCATTAGTGGAAAAGAATTTTTTTTTTATTACTTTGTTTTGGTGTTGGAAAAAAAAATAATTACATAATTAGCGGGGATTGATCAAGTGCAAATGTTGTAGGTATTTTACGGATAAGCTTGGAGTATTATAATTGTTCATTAAATTGAAACAGGCGCGTTCGTTTAAGTGAGCGCAAAAGACTATGAATAAGTTGGGGTACTATAGTCGTTTATTAAGCTAAAACAGGCGATTCCGCCCCGGGCTAGACTGTGAGCACTTTGCGTTTATGTTCGCGTTAGTGTTTTCTTTGTGTTTAGGTTGGGTTTGCGTTAGTGGTTGCGGTTTGATTTGGTTCGTTTTTGTTCTTTCTTTTTTCGTTTTTGTTTGTTTTTTTTTCTTTGGGTTTGTATTTGTGTTTTTGGTTGGTTTTGCGTTTTTATTTGGTTTGCTTTCGTTTGCTTTTTAGTTTTTTGTGTTGTTATTGGTTGGTATTGGTGTTTGTGGTTGGGTTTGTTGTTATGTTTTTGTTTTCGTTTGCTTTTTTGTTTGTTTTTTCTTTGTGTTTGTATTGGTGTTTGTGGTTGAGTTTGTTGTTAGGTTTTTGTTTTCGTTTGTATTTGTAATTGTGTTAACTTTATGTTTGCGTTTTGTTGTTTTGGTTGGTTGTGGTTTGGGTGGGCAATGCCGGGTTTATGATGATTACTAAACACACAGGTAATGGCCTTTAACAGAAAGGTTTTTCACAAAAGCCAGAGCAGGGCCTGGCCGGGACGGCTAGTTGTTAGAATAAACCTGAAACTGACACTAAAATTATTAATTAACAAAAGAACTAATGTCAGCTGTCTCGACAGTCAATTTAAATGTAGATATTTATGACGAAACTTAATTTGATCATAAAAATCTTTTTCATAAACTCAAAACGTCTATATTAGAAAACGAAACATATCGTTCACAAATGTTTTATCTTACCTAAAACCATAAACTTTATCCTAAAGGTTGTCATTTTTTTTAAAAATCATTTTAACCCCTCCCCCTGTTGCTACGGTAATGTTGGACAGGATCTACTCCAACACAACTATTACATGTCAACGAGTTAGGCGCCATATTGCCCGTTCACTCCAAGTTCATCCTTTTTTCTGGACTTGCTTCTATAGCCTTAGTCAAGCAAAGAATATATTACAAGGAAGCATTTGTTTAATGGAGTTTTTACTGTCCCCAGCTATCCAGTTGTCTCTCCTAGATGGGTTGCTTCCCCAGCTATCCAGTTGTCTCTCCTAGATGGGTTGCTTCCCCAGCTATCCAGTTGTCTCTCCTAGATGGGTTGCTGTCCCCAGCTATCTAGTTGTCTCTCCTAGATGGGTTGCTGTCCCCAGCTATCGAGTTGTCTCTCCTAGATGGGTTGCTGCCCCCAGCTATCGAGTTGTCTCTCCTAGATGAGTTGTTGTCCCCAGCTATCGAGTTGTCTCTCCTAGATGGGTTGCTTCCCCAGCTATCGAGTTGTCTCTCCTAGATGAGTTGTTGTCCCCAGCTATCGAGTTGTCTCTCCTAGATGG